GCAAATGCCAAAATCGCTATTCGTTTTGTAAGCTACGGATTTTTTTTAGAGAGTACTGTCATACGGAAGTAAATTATCATGCGCTCCGCCACGTTTTCTTAGTAGATTGAAAGGATTAGTAACGAGCTATAGAAGAAAAATTGGAACATTTATGTGGAATTTATAATACTCGAAAGAATTCCTCTTAAAGTTTTTGTATTACATTATCTATCGATATAAAAGTAGAACTTTAATATTTTATTTTTGTGAAAAATGCACATTACTACTCATTGTGATCTGATCATTTTGTTTCCAAGATGTTAAACAATACTTTCTAAACAAGAAAATAATAAATCCGTATTCATTGGTCATTATCTGTAGAGGAAAAAGTAGAGTGGACTTTTTTTTTGTCAAAAAATAACATACAATAAAAAATAAAATAAATAATGGAAAAACAATAATCAAAAAATATATTTAAACTTAAATTTTGATCTTAATTAATTAATTATATCAAATACATCGATACGGTTTGGTCGAATTTCACCAACAAATACTTGAAGACTGTTGATATTTACAACAACATCATGTGGTTCACCAAAGTTCTAAAGAATAGAGGAAATAATTAGGATAAAAGTGACACATGAAGGAGATCTATGTCCTACTTCTACTGGTTTCCATATTGTTAATAATAAACCAAATGACTCGGGATCAACACTGAACGTATATCCTAGCGCTTTTTTGCCCAAACTACCACCACTAACAGCATACAAGCGTTCTAAACGACAACGAGAAGGCAATTGTAATAGTCAAGCTTCTCAACCATATAAACGAAGAATGAATGAAATGTCTCTATTCAATGCATACATATACATATTTTTCAAATTGAACATTTACTAATCGGCTTCTCCAGCTAACGGTCTCCTTTTTATGCTCTTTTTCAAAGAACTATGGCAATAAAGTTAGAAAATAATCTAAAACTACAACTAGATAATTGAGTAGATCAAACATTTCTCTATAAAATGAAAAGTGTCTCGTCTTCACACTTTTAGACACACTTTTT